TGAAACTCTCAGAAAAAAGATAAAGAATCATTATCCACCATATAAACGTAAAGCCATTCAAAATAATACTATTAATTAAAAGCAGCTGTATGTAAAACGTTTTGAGTTTGAGGGACCTCCCTTTAACAGAGTGTGGATAACCCACAAAGATTCAAAACTAATTGAAACACGACTTGTATTAAAGCTGGATTTTTTTTAGGTAAGAGGATAAAAACTAAGGAAAATGCTATATTTAGGACCACTAAAGACTGAGTAATAAACGAGAAGCTGTGTACATAAAATAATACCTTGACAATTGCAGATTACATTTGCGAAGTTGTATAAAGCTAAGCGAGTCAAAAATTGATAGTTTCTTCAAAATAATTCCCAATAATACTGTCAAAAGCATAGTACAGATTTATGGAGTCAGAGCTGGAAGTAACGCGGAATTCTAGACTTTTGAAAAAGTTAGGTACACATGAAGCCCTGTGAAAAACCATCAACTATTCTCGTATTTAACATGTAGGAAGATCCCTTCAATTAATTTTTAGAGGAAATAGGAAAGAAAATAAGCTTAATCATAGCGACTACCCTAAATCCAGCTCCTCAGTCAATACTCTAAGCAATATGAAGAAAAACTGGGCTTCAAAGAATTCCTTAATGATATATTGTGACATTTCGAGGGGAAAGTTGGTTGGAATAAATTCGTAAAGTCGTATCACTGGAAACCGAAGAATGATCGTGGCGGAGTCAAGACTGTTGGATTGTGCGAAGAAGTTCTCAGCTCACCGTCCTGCGACCCCGATAAACCCATGCTAAACTTTCGTCTGTACTGTGACAGATATCATCAGAGCAAGAATCCATATGTTACAAAGGTAGCGAAAAAATATACTGAACCAAGAGAAAAGGCAACAGGCTGCAACCCTAGCCCCTTTTTATACACCTAACCTTGCGATCTTAATTAGGCATCCCATGATTTGCTTGGTAACCTCAAACTTATTGGACATGCTTAAAAATGAGTGAGGTCATTTCAAGAATTCGTTCCGATCATATTTTCCTTCAAAATGGAAAGTCATGTCACAATGTCCGATCTATGTCGATCAATAGATTGAAAAAGAGAGTAGTATGATGTTAAAATTTTCAAGTTGGTTCATTCAAATATTAAGTCAAATAATCATCTAAGTCAAAAGATCATTAAACCAACGACTAAGTCAACATGTCATATAAAATTAAATCTCATATAATAGAATGAGGATAACCAACCCTTGATGGTTTAATTGGAAGACGATGACAGTAATTCGAGCCACTGAGCGCGGGCCTACCAGTTGAAGCCATAAATATTGCTTCATTACTAGTACTAATAACTGCCTTCGAGTCTATTGAAGTAACAGTCGATTCGCCCAATGCGACCCTAATGAGACTAATCTGCTGTTCGGATTTCTGGCCAGAAGGTGTATATGTGGTGGCAGTGCCTGCCGAGGATTTGCGAGTGCGCAGGCCTTTTCGAAAGGGTACTTGAGGACTGAACAGACCAGGCTCACAAGCACTTTCAGCTCCAGCAGACTCAGCTATTGATATCAATGTTTCGTTGTTATTATTCGCGAAGATTTTGTTAATAAGACCTGGGCTGTATGCATGAATTCGATCGGGTTGACTAGATCGCAAAGTGGAAGTAAAAAGTTTGGTTTGAAATCTTTTCTCCTCATCCGTTTGATGCCTAGAAGGCAGCAAAAATGGATCGCCAGTGAATCTAGCTTCTTGTTCTGGTATAAAGGACTTTGTTTTAGAGGCCACATCACGCTGAAGAAAGGTACGCATGTGGCTGATGGGAGACCTTTGTCGGGCATCTTGAAGTCCAGAATCAAGTTGACTAATTTCAGCTGGGCTCTCAGATAATTCGGCCTCAAAGGCAGTGCTAAGAGAGCCTGAGATCGAATTGTTGTTTCTGGGTGAGTTATTTCTTCTTATCACAGTGTCAGACAGGACCAAGCATGACTCTGAAAGATCCTCGCTAGTTTGAAATCTCCTATAAGTGTGCGACGCTGCGAGAGAAACGGATACTACAGGCGAGGTCTGTGGCAATACTTGCGGCACTTTTGAGGAGAGAGACCGACACAATGGCAAGCTTGATTTGGATGAACAATTTGGCGAATTTCTAGCAAATACCAGAGTTTCAGCATGAGTCGATCTACTTGGTTTTTCCATTCTCGGCCCCAAAACAGGGTCTGGCAAGGTCAAGGCTGTGCGTGAAAGAATCTGCGCAACAAAAGGATCAGGATGATCTGGTGGCCGAGTACAACCATAGAGGTTAAATGAGCCAAATGAAGGCTTCGTGATCTCATCACTATATCCTCCAGAGTGCATAAGAATAGGAGCTGAATGTTTCAAAAGGTTGGATTCAGCCATATGAATATCTTTGTTGAGAAGCAACAACAGCCGATGAACAGATGATGAAACCTTATTCTGACTATAGGAAGCCAAGTGCTTAGTATGAATACTATTTGATAGGTGAGCCTAATAGGAAAAGGTGTAGCACTTAAATTGATGAGAAATCAAATATATTCATCCCAAATAAAAAAAGAGCATAAAACAGTGAATGAGAGCATAGTTAAAAATAACGTTAAGCAAGTGGAGAAAACTAGCCTTAATATAAAAAGGTTGCAAGTATATCTGGGGATAAAAATCAGGTGTACACGATATTAAGATAAGTGCAGTAAAAAGGGGTGTAAATAATACATTACAAACAGGAAAGAGATCAAGGATAAGTTACGCGTCAGACATGTAAATAGAAAATGAGGAAGGGTGAAATTGAAAGGCAAATATATGATATATAAGCAAAATATAACAATCTATTGCAATACAAGCTATACGTGTGATAATAGATATTACAATACAAAACACATAATATAGAACCAGAATCTTAGTATCTACATATGTTTTTCTAGCTTGTTAAATTCGTGTGAAGTACTGTGATGAAAATCGTTAATAAGCTGTGATTTATATTTTGCATGATATCTATAAGCACGTAAACGTTACACAAAACTCATAGTAAGATTAACATGATTTTTTCTAATAAATTTATAAAATTAAAACTCATAAAAGTGCCGGACTTAAATACAGAAAAACATGACTATAAAATAATAAAAATTAAAAATAAATTATTCTCCTAACATTGTGAGAGAATATAAGTCGTAGAAATACAAGCTGAGTCGTAGTTTATTTATTCTGTGCTTCTTTCTCTTGGATCTCATTCGAGATTGTTTTTCAACGAAATAAGGACTATAAATGAGTTGATTGTAGGCCTCGGAACGAATTATATTTTGTTGCGAAGATATGAAGACCAAGATGATGCGGCCTTTTCTGTGGTCGCAGTCTCCTTTCGTTGTATAGAAGTTGTTTGACATTTGTTTTCGCAACTTGGTCATGATGGTAGGAAGACCGTGGACCTGGTACATTCCCAGACGTTTGGCCGGCACCGTAGTCGGCATCGTAAGTGAGTTTCACCATTCGTAGCACTATATTACAACTCGTCAAAGAGACAAGTGAAG